CCTCTCACCCTGCAAAGCCTGCTTTGCAGTTGCCAATGGTAAGATTAAAGCATATAGCTGAGAATTCTGACAGTATCTAGTTTTTTAAAACCAGACAATGAAATAGCTTAAATGTAATGTAAATTTCCTTGCAGGAAGTAGAAAACATGTAAAAAGCATTGGAGGAGAAACTGAACATCAAAACAGGCTGTCTTAGACTGGTAACTGTGCAATGGAGTGCTGTTGTAGAGAGATTTAACAGTGGTTACTGGATGATTGTAATGAAAGAAACTCAAGGTTACTGCTTTTGAAGTGAGTGTTGCTGGGTTTTTAAAAAATGCCTTTGGAGTTTGTAGAGCTTTACAGGAAGGAGCCGTGGTGAAGAAGCAGGGGCTCTCTGTGTGATACACTCTGCAGCCCAGTGAAGATTTGCAAGTCAAACCTCATTTGCATCTAATTTTCAGAACAGAAGTCACAACAGATTACTTCAAGGTGAAAAATTCTGAAGACTCTTGGGAATTTCTTCAATTAGACCAGGACAAAGAAAACAAAGCTAGGAAATAAAATGGGACTTAAAACTTTGCTGTGTGAATGTGCGGGGGTTGACACGTCTATAGCAATTCTAGAGAAGGACCGTCATGCATTGCCCTAGTGCGCCCCTTTGGGGCTGGGCTAGTTTGATTCAAGATGCTAATGGCATTATTTTTAAAGCTAAACCTGACAATGTAAAGTTCTAGTTTTATAAAATCTGCTAACCTATTGTAAGATGTTAAAAATATAAATTAATACAGTTTTTATGTTTTCAGAAGTTAAGCTTAAGCAAGCAACTAAAATGTGTACATGTAGCTACTGTTTAAAGAATATAAGGTAACTCTATATGCAATTTAAATTCAACTGTGCTAGGTTTCAGATATTTTACTAAGTTAAAACCAGTTACGGTCAGACTGAAAATTAATTAATTACAGAAATAAGGCCTTACCTAGCCATCTATGTGCTTAAGGCAAGTAACTAAACAGACAGACCTCTAATGCTTCAGAGACCTGCAGAATATGGCATTTAAAAGTTGTTTTAAAAGTTTATAATATCAGACAGACCAACAAATCCTGACAATGACCCATAGTCTCCAAAGAAGATTATGAGGCACCCCAGTTCCTGCACCTGGATGATGACAACGACGCTGACCAGTGAGCAAGATGCTCAGATGCAATACCTACTGCCTGCCAGGACTTGACCAAGACTGTGGACAAAACTGCTAGACACTGAAAAATTGATTGCAGCCCCTATGCCTAGACAAAACAAGGTCAGTCTTTTCCATGTCCCTCTTCCACAGAGAGAAAAAAACTCTCACCTTATAGGCCTGGTGAAGACTGCTGTTCTTTGAGACTCCTGCCTCCAATGCTGGTGGAGACTTGGCTAACTGTATATGGACTGGCCCCTGTCACTTTTTAATAGACTCTCTGACCAGTGAGCAAGATGCTCAGATGCAATACCTACTGCCTGCCAGGACTTGACCAAGACTGTGGACAAAACTGCTAGACACTGAAAAATTGATTGCAGCCCCTATGCCTAGACAAAACAAGGTCAGTCTTTTCCATGTCCCTCTTCCACAGAGAGAAAAAAACTCTCACCTTATAGGCCTGGTGAAGACTGCTGTTCTTTGAGACTCCTGCCTCCAATGCTGGTGGAGACTTGGCTAACTGTATATGGACTGGCCCCTGTCACTTTTTAATAGACTCTGAAACTGTATAAAATTTACCCTTCTCAGATCTCTGAAAGTATTAATGGTTGTCAGCTTGACAGCGTCAGGCAGTCAGATCCACTACAGACTATAGTTGGCTTGGTAGCTGATAAAGTAATGACTGCCTACTGTTCAGGCACAAGCTCAAGGTTTTTAGGTTTATTTTGGTTGTCATCTAAGTATAAACTTAAAGGGCTTTTCATCAGGCCAAAGGTACCTCTGTCCAATCCATACCTGGCTCTCTGGACAGAAGACAAATGTACACGTTTCTAGCCCAAATTTATAGTTTTTGCCAGGACTCAAAATATATGTTCCTGCTGTTTGAACAGATAACTGGTTTTTTTTGCACTGTGGGTTTCAATAAATAAGTTTTAACTTCTGTTCCCAGTTTCAACATGTCTTAAACAGGTTTCTACTTCTGGCAGACACAACTGAGTATCAGTTGTTGACTACAGCCTGCCCCTAAAGAACTGCGAGCCCTGGACTTGCTGTGGATGTGAACCAGTCCAGCTGAGGTGGACACCCCCTATCTCTTCAACAGAGTCTGCCAACCAGCTGCTTCCCCATTGCCTGAATTCCCTTTTTGCTTTTGACTAGCATTTCAGCCTTTTTGGGTCCCTAACTTCATCCCAAAGTCGGCAGGAAGTAGCATGGGAAAGAATACATAGCCCATTTTCTCTAGTTGAAATACTAAATCAAAATAAACTCCCTTACATAGGGGATGCCAATATCACTCACTCTCTGATGGGGACGCTGGAGAGACAGCAATTCCATAATTGGAATCTCCAAAAAGAAAATGGGGGAATGAAGGGATCAGCTCCCCGTTTTGGCAGCCATAACAGCCTAACAAGTGCTTGCCTGACCTTGCCTTGGTCACTAGGAGGTCAGATGCCTGCCTCATGGCAAGGAACCAAACAGAAGTTAGATGGTGGTGCTATGCTTTACGGCTATGGGTGTGCTTTACAGACAAGTGCGCAGCAATGACGTGCAGAGCATAGCCCTGGGAGGGCCTATGTGCCATGACAGCCAACTGGCCAATCAACACAGGGCAAGTCCTCCAATCCTGAAGGCTCACCAATCCTGAGCCTGTGCGTACCCTTAGACACTCCCCTTATGCTTTCCTATAAGATCTCTGTCCCATGGTTTCTCAGGGTTTTTTCCCAGCCATCCGCCGTGTTGGATGGGTGAAAGGCCTGAGCTAATGGGGTTAGCTCCTTAAACAACTGCAATAAATCCTTTTGCTGTTTGCATCAAGCTTTCCACCTCCGTGAGTGATTGGGGTCGCTGCAGTCCTGGGCTGAGAGACTGGGGGCCTGAGCCTCTGAGGGTCTTTCACACTCTTCACTTTTATGTGGCTTCCAGAGTCCAACTCATGTCCCCAAGACCACCCTGCAAACACTTTTACCTGCTAAATCATCTGTAGGCATCTTGTCTGCCTACACACCCCTTTGGGTGTGGCTTCAGGTGTAAGGAAGAGGAAAGAGAGAAACATAAGGCGTGGTCTTGCTTGCAAGGGTCTTTCTCTTGGGTCAGCTGATCCGGTAGGAAGGGCAGAGAAGCTCCTGTGGTTCTTTGTGTTTTTCTGTGTAAGTGTTCCCCCAATATATACCCATTTATCATTCATCTTGGGTCTAGTGAAATCATTACACTCTGGCTTTCAATCATCTCATTGACCCCTACTCAAAAACAAACAAACAAAACCTTAAAAAGCTATTTCTGTCTTTGAGACAGGGTTCCACTCACTATGTTCCTGTGTTCAAGTGATTTACCTACCTCAGGCTATTAGCATGCTACAATACCTGGTGTCACAGTTAGGGTTTTTATCACTGTGAGGAAACACCATGATCAAAAGCAGCTTGGGGAGGAAAGGGATATTTCACTTTCACATCACACTCAACCAAGGGAAGCCAAGGTAGGAGCTCAAACAGGGCAGAAACTGGAAGTAGGAGCTGATACAAAGGCCATGGAGAGGTACTGTTTCCTGGCTTGCTACCCATGGCTTGCTCAGCCTGCTTTCTTATAGAACCCAGGACCACCAGCCCAGGGATGACCTACCCACAATGTTCTGGACCTTCCCACATAAATCACTAAATAAGAAAATGTACTACAGGCTTGTGCCTACAGCCTGATTGTATGGAGGCATTTTCTCAATTGAGATTCCCTCCTCTCAAATGATACTAGCTGTGTCAAATTGACTTCAAACCAGCCAGTATACCTGGCTCATCTTTTTTCTTACCACCACTACAAGCCTATATTTGAAACCCTTGTGATTTTTATTAAAAATCACAGCAAAAATCTCTCTCTCTCTCTCTCTCCCCCTCTCTCTCTCCCTCTCTCTCTCTCTCTCCCACCCACACACACACACACACACACACACACACACACACACACACACACACACGAAGAGTTAACAGCCCGCAGCAGATAGTGCTAAGGTTTTCTTTATGAGATACACCAATCAAGCGAGAGGGAGGGAGCTGGAACCAGCGCAGGTAGCTGGGGGAGCAGAAGAGAGAAGGGCCGGGATCTCCATGTGCAGCCCTTAAGAAACTTCCCTTATGTCAACCTGACTTCCCTTCACCCCACCCTCATGGGCATGTCCTGATACACCTGGCACCTGTCCAGGTTACCTGGGGCGGAGCTAGGATGTCTCCCTACACACACACACACACACACACACACACACACACACACACACACGCAGATGAAAAAGTATGAGGCTCCAAATACCTCAGGAGGAGAGCAGCCATGCTCACACCTCACACAATACTAGCTGGCAATCCTCCAGCTCAGGTCCTCCTGCAAGTCTCCCTGGGCCTCTAGAATGATTAGCAGGACCTGTCCTTACCAAGGTGGGAGTGGTGGCTCTGGCCTGTCCGAATCACAAGGGCCAGGGTTCACAGGGGATTTTAGATGAATAATTAAACTTCATCAAGTGGCTTCTTTGAACCCTCATGGGCAGACACTCCCTACAAAGGCTAGCATTTAAAGAGGGAAGAAGGGACTCTGAGCTAACCCTGAGGAAAACTGGGCTCTCAGCTTTGGATGTTAACTGTGGGAGCCCTGGAGAAAGAGGAACCAGAAGGTTGGAGAGAGATGTAACATGTCCTGATCTTTTAAACAAAAAGTTTATACTAAACTATTCTAGTGCAAGTGGGACTGTGGTGGAGCATTCTTTTAAACCTAGCACTCAGGAGGCAGAGGCATGAGGATCTCGAGTTCGAGGGCAGCCCAGTCTACAGAGTGAGTTCCAGAAAAATCTTGTCTCAAAAAACCAAATGTGTGCAAGTGTGTGTGTGTGTTATACATAAGTAGAAACTATAATACAGTGATTCACCTACGTACTCTCCACCTGACTAACCAAGCAGAGACCCCACACACACACCCCTCAGGTATGCCCTACTTGGCTCTTCATTTCCTCCTCACCTGTGTGGATATATATTTTTGTTGTCACATCCATGTTATCTGTGTGTACCATATCATACAGATGGGTGAGTTCTAAAACTTAATTTAAACAGCACTATACTTACGTGACCCTCAGAAACATCTGTCATTTTCTTTTTAACCTTGTGTCTGAGCCTGAGGGAGAGATCTCTGTTGATACACATAGCTCATATTCATTATTTTTATTTTGTTTTTGTTGTTGTGGAGGTTTTGGGTTTTGAGACAAGGGAATTTAATAGAATGTGCTCAGAGTCCAGAGCACACAAGCTCCATTCATTCCAGCCTCAGCTCCCAGCGAGCTGGCAGTGTGCACTGCTATACTCAACTCCTGCCTCCTGCCATTCATCTTTTTATTTGTTTAGTGCAAGGGATGGAGCCCGGGGCCTTGTGCAAGCATGCTTGGCAAGCCTTCTACCACTGAGCTTCATGTCCAGCCCTGCCCGTATTATTGAAGCATAATATCTAATCAAGAAGGCCCACAGATCTGCAAGTTCAGCTCAAGGACTCTGTGGAGTGCTCAGCTAGTATAACCATCTCACAGCCCAAGGAAAATAACTGGGGGTGAAGATGGGGCTCTGCTGAGAGTGTGTTTTCCTGGACTCGCCAAGGCCTGGGTTTAGTTCCCCCAGCTTTGTACAAACTGGGAGTCAATGAGTATGCCTGTAATCCCAGAACTCAGACGACAGAGGCAGGAGGATAGGAAGTTCAGTGTCACCCTGAGGGACTAGAAGGTAGGTTCCCTGATAGGCAGACAGATAGCGAACAGAGCACTTCCAAGGCGGCTGGCTTCTTCAATATCTTCCTGACATGAGACAAAAACCTGACAGCTTAAAACGAAGGACTGGTGGGCTCTTGTCCCCAGTCCCCTGCTGGTGACAAGAACATATCTACAAAAGTTGTGGACACACCAACCCCCACCCCACTAACCTGGGGGAAGAAGTCCCTTAAAAACTCAGTCCCTCGAGGAGAGAGCAGGCTTGGCTTCCTGCATCCCCACCCTGCTCCACAGAGGGTCTTTCTCTGTGTTTGCCTTGCTGTACTTCCTGCCCCCTATGCCCCACCCCCTGCCCCTGCCCCCACCCCTCCTTTACCTGTTTCCTGGAGATTTCCCCTGCCTTTTAATTCTTTTTTTGTTTGTTTTGTTTTTTGAGCGCCTTTTAGTTCTTGAACTGGTAGAGAAAATGAAACTCATCAAGATCCCTAACATAATAATCCTTGACTACATTGCAAGTTGGAGACTAACCTGGGCTACATGACACCCTGTCTGAAAACCAAGACCAAAAAAATAAAAATAGGAGTAAATCTAAACTGAATGCTATTCTAAAACAACTTTGCAACTCTAATGAAATGAAATGGATATTCACCAACAGACCAATGCCAGGATTTAGATGCCTCCCTCATAGCCTATCCCATGATCATTCATTTTCATTGCAAAACAGTATCCCACTGTATGAGCACATTGCAATTTTACTCACTTTACTTGCTGGTGAACCTTGGAGTAGTTTGCACATTCTTCACAGTGCTGCAGGACTGCAGACCAGAGGCTCACTGAGGGTGAGTGCACCATCTCTGGCCTAGCACAGCCTTACCCTGTGGCTCACCAGAGCCCTGTTCTGCCTGCAAAGCAGGATGTGAAAGTTGCTCTCCTCCACAGCCTCATGGGGCTCTGAAAGGGAAGGTTTGCCTGTCTCCTCCACAGCATCATAGGGCTTAGAATTGGAAGGTTAGCATGTCTCCTAATCTGAATAGCTGGAAATGGTCTCAGGCTGGGAATTAAATGTACATGTCACTGATTACAAAAGAGGCGGAGCATCTCTTTATAGGCTTTTCAGAGTTCCTCTTTTCTGAATCCATTATTCATGTCTTTGTCAGTTTTTTTTTTTTTTTTCCTTTTGGGTTTTCCCCTTGCTTATTGATAATGAATGACATATATATATATATATACTAGATGCATTTCCTATATCAGTCTTTTTTTTTTTTCTTCAATTTTCAAAAGAGGAAGGAAGGTCCCTGTTATGAACTAGAGGTTATTGAGTGTGATGTAAACTTCTAGGGAGATTCTAGAACAGGTCAGTATGTGGATGATTTGTGACAACTGAGTATGAAGTCGTGATCACTGGGAGGAATATAGATTACCAAAAACAAGTCATTCCAGACTCTCCAGCTTGTCTTGGAAAGGCTTCAATTGCTTGCCACCACCATTTGGGTGACACGCATGAATTACGAGCCACACAGTGCCGCACATACATCATCCATGCAGCCTGGGAGACTGGCATGGTCACCACCCTCACTGTGCGGAGCACAGGAATGGCACTGGCTGGCTCAGCAGTGACTGTGGAGGGTCCTGGGCTGCAGGGTGGGAGCTGAGGTGTTGTGGTGGGATTTCAGTGAGACCATAAGCTTGGCCTTGCTATAGAGGAAATGTTGAATTGTAGACATTAGATAAATCAGTTACGACTACTGCTGTGTCCTATGAGTCTCACAGGAATTTTCTGGAGGCTTACTCTAGGACTGGGTACTGACCCATTCAACAGGCTCATTGATTTCTCTAAAAGGGACAGAGGTGACACGCAAATCATATGTGTAAATGGCTTGAAAGGAAATTCGGAGAATATTTGTAACCTAGATTTAACCTAAAGCAAATTTCTGGAGCTACATCAAAAGGGTCTAATTTATTGCCTCATCTCCCCTTCCCCATGAACCAACCTCCCTCCCCAATCCCACTAAGGAGGAGGTGAGAGAGACAGGCAGCCCTAAGAGTCTCAGGAAACGCTGGGTACCCAATGGGGGTTGGAAGGGGCGGCACAGAGGGAGACAGAAGCTGACCAGGCCAGGTACAGGGCCAGAGGAGCATACATGTTCAAGGCTAGCAAGATCTGGGGAGCTGGAGGGAAGAGGAGCCCCTGGAAAGGGAAGCTGGGTTGGTCACTGCACTCAGAAGATGCCCCATGTTTACCAGGACAGACTTGTCCAGCGTCCCCTTGTATAGGACAGAGTAGAGAACATCCAAACTCAGGCTGGGCTGACTAACACTTCTATAATTTTATCCCAATTCCCTTTCACTACATGTCAGAAGGACACTCAAGGATGGTGTCACAGAAGCACAAAGTCACACAGGAGGCAAGGTGTTGAGAGCCTGGAAAGGATGAGCCCCTAAAGGTGAGGCCAAGGGAAGATTTTCCCACTTACTCTAAGCCAAAGAAAGCCATGGAAATTTCCTAACTAACCCTCACACAGGGAGGGGGAAAGAAGGGTTGGAGAAGTGTGCCAGAGCCGATTTTCCTTCTTGTTGCCTTCAAGTCACAAAAGTGACAAGTGTTTGTTGTCATTTTGGGAAAATATAGCAGAGAAGGAAGAAAATGAAGATTGTTCATGTGTGTCCACACCATGTAGTGGGTGTTTTTGATCTGCTGTTGCCCGGATGCTTGGGTGATCCCTTAACACACACGGAAACCCAACAGCAAGGTGGCCCCGTGGAAGTACCCTTTGGGAGTTCCATGGGTTGGTACCCTCAGTGTTTCTCTTCTGCCACAGCAGGACTCCAGAGGATGATGGCTGCCCAAACCAGGAAGTAGCTCTCACCAGGTACTGGATATGTGGACCTTGGATTTCTTCAGTTCTCAAAGCTGAGAAAAAAATTCCAGTTGTTCTGAAGCCTCTCAGCCCATGGTGCCTTATTATAGTAGTTTGAGTGAGCCAGACATTGTGTCTTGTGGAGATTCACCCACATTCCTCAGCCTTATAAGGTGTCATGGCTGTTCATCGTTCCACTACAAGTTGTTTTATAATTTATATAGCAGACCCGTGTCGTTCAACACATATGAATATAAATCCTGAGATTCAATCTGGACATTATTCTAGACAAACCTCTGCCCTGAGGTACTCTGTCAGGAGCCAGCTGCATGCAGGAGCAGTCCCCAGGCGCCAGAGCAGGTGTGCCAGGTGACAGGTCTCCAACAGCTTGCTCAGCTGTCAGGAGGAGCGGTCCCCTGAGGCCATCAACATTGAGGCTGTGTGCTGAGCCACTCAACCCCTCAGTTCCATCTGAATTTCTTGGCAGTTGTCCTCATGCTTAGATTGTCCCCAGGGGTACCACTGCCCCCCCCACGCCGAGTCCTCAAAAGAATGCCATGCCTTTGGTGTCTTCTCTGCACACCCCTTCCATGTTTGTGGTGACAGGAACAAACTCACCCCAGGACGGTGCTTGCCTAGGCACACCCTCTCTGGCTGTTTCCAAATTTTATTTTTTCTTGCTTTATTATTTCATTTTCTTATTTTGGGGACCCAGAGATGGAACCGAGGCCCTTCTATATGTGAAACACGTGCCTTACCACTTGGCTATCTCGGCCTTTTCCCTTTTTAACACCCACAGCTTATTGAAGCTGTGTGGTCTAGCTCTGGTCTACCAGCCCCAGCCTTCCTCCTTTACCAACAGCTTATTAAAAACAAATAAGCCTGGATCTGACTGGTCCGGCTGGCACATTTCACAGCCACGTGAAGAGGCCAGTCCACACCAGCACTTCTCTGTTCCTGAGTTGGTTTCTTAGAGGCTACTATAAGAAATTCCTTCAAATTGGGTGCCTTAAAAATCTGTTCTCTCTCAGTTGCATACACTGGAAGGCCATAATCAAGACATGCGCAGTCCTGCTGGCAACTTGGGGAAAATCCTGTCTGTGTCATCCACCCAGCCTGGGCTGTGGCTGAGAAATGCCTGTCTCTTCAGGGGCCTTCTCTTATGGGCCTTGCTTTTTTAACCTAAGGACTTTAATATACAATATGATGGTATGATATTAGCGTGTAGGAAGCTGAAGTAGAAGGATGATGACTTCAAGGCCAATCAAGATACTTCATCTCCAAAGACTGGGTGTGTGTTGTGGGGGTGGAGGGGGGCCAGATTTATAACTGTTTAATTTAGAAATTGTTGGCTAGCTTTCTGCTACGTGACAGGCTACATGAGACAATCACCTTAACTGAGGTGGGGCTTCAGTCCCTGTGTCTTAGCCTACTGCTTCAGGCCTGTGCTGAGGCAGCACACCATGGATGGAGTGCGTGGAGGAGGCCTGGTCTCGTGTGGCAGCTGGGATTAAAAGAGAGAGAAAGGAACGAGGGTACCAGTGTCCCCTTCAAGGGAATAACTCAAGTGACCTAACTCCCACCTTACCCTGCCTGAGATTTGACCACCTTCTGATAGTGCCCCAAGCTAGAGAACAAATCTGTAGCACACAGGTCTCTAAGGAACACTCAAGATGCAAACTGTAGCAAAGGCCCACCTGGACAGTCCAGGCCGATGACATTTCCAGATCTTTCGCCTAATTCTATCTGCAAATATTCCTTTCTCCGAGTAAAGATCATAGTCACAGTTCCAAGGTGGAACTTTTTGGCCCGCTGTGTGCTTTATCCAGCTTCCTTCCTCTGCCACTCCAGTGTCATGCCATCATGGATCCTGTCACAATTATCATCTCCCCTGTCTTAGTCAGGGTTCCTACTGCTGTGAAGAGACACCATGACCATGGCAACACTTATAAAGGAAAACATTTAATTGAGGTGGTGGCTTGAGGTTTTAGAGGTTTAGTCATTATCATCGTGGCAGGGAGCATGCTGGTGTGCAGGCAGACGTGGTGCTGGCCACATCTTCATCAGAAGGCAACAGGAAGTGGACTGTCTCACTGGACATAGCTTGAACTATATGAGACCTCAAAGTCGGTGCCCACAGTGACACACTTCTTCCAATGAGACCACACCTACTCCAGTAAGGCCACAACTCCTAATAGTGCCACACCCTTTGGGGCCTTTTTCTTTCAAACCAGCACACCAGTTCTCCTGTACTCTAAGACCCTATCCCAAGAGCTCCTCCTATGGGCCATGTCGCTCTCTTCAGTGAATCCATCTCCTCCTCCCTTGTCAGTGTACTCTTTACCCATTCTGACTACCAGATCCACTTCTGTGGCTACTGCCTGATAGGTTTCCTCACTCCCTGGCTTCCTGAAGTCATTATCACTGAAGGTCAACCAATCACATATACATAGTGAGACCCTGTCAAAACCCATAAACAACAGCAAAACCATTGTGTTGGAGGATCCAGGAAATGGCTCTATTTCTAAATCACTTGCCTTGTAAGCACGGAGAACAGTGTTTAGCTCTCATACTTTATTTTTTAAAGGGCAGCCAGAGATGCATGACTGTGATCGCAGTAGTGGGGATATAGACGGGTAGATCCCTACAACTTGCTGGCCAACCAGACGAGACTAATCGGTGAGTTCCAGGCTAGAGAGAAACCCTGTCTCAGAAAACTAGGTGGATGAAGCCCAAGGTTGGCCTCTGGCCTGTACATGTACAAATTCACGTGTGTACCCCCATACACACAAACATGAACACAACCATTCACAGCTAAGAGTCTAATTTTTTTTAATGCAAAGGGCACATTTCTAATTTTGTCATAATTTAAAACTCTGATTTAAACACTTTCTAACTGTTACTGACAAAAACGCCTGAGAGAATTAACTGCAGAAGGTGCAAAGACTGATCTGGACTCAGCCTTGGAGTTTTCAGTGCCCGTTCTCTTGGCCCATTGCTTGCTCAGCCTGTGGTGGAGCAGTGATATTGGGGAAAGTGCCTCCAGCTGCCCTTGAGGTAATTGTCCCCAACAAGTCACATGGTTGGGTGAGCGACTTCACTTCCAGTTCACAACCACAAGTCTCCAATGGATGTGACCTAGCTACTCAGGCATTTCCATTATGAGTCTCTTTTCCCGTCAGAGGTTTTGTACTTTTCCTTCCAATCCCCCACAAAGATGACTGCTGTTCTGCTTCACACACAGTTGAGAAAATGCATGCCATCAAGGTGCAACTCAATTCCCTTCCCACCTGCACTCCCACTGCCAAATTCCCATCTCTACCTGTCTTGTCACACTACAAGCATCTGCTCCTTGAAAAACCCATCCCTCAAAATGATAGCCCAGGTGAGTGGCAACCATGCGAGGGCCATGGGGGCCATTGATGCTCTGGATTCATGCCCACAACGATGCCCCCTACAGGGTAAGCATGAAATGTTTGCCAAATTAAGAATTTTCTTCTTCCATTTATGTCTCTTCATTCTGTCTTCGATATCTCCTCTATGGGGTTATCGTTACTAACATTATCTATATGTGGAATCGTCCATGTAAACAAAGTCTGCCTATGCTTGCCCCAGCCCCTGCCCCTCCTCCCATGCTCTACACTGCTTCAGAGCAAAGTTCTCCAGGCTAGTCTAGAGCATGCTATCATTGCCTCTCTCCTGTACCTACGTCCCACTCTTTTCATCTGCTCTTCGGTTCCATGTCTGGCTTCTGGCTTCACCGTCCATCTCAAGTTCCTTTGTCGTGGTTATCTATGACTTCCGTGTGGTCAAACCCGATGTCACTCGTGGTCTCCACCTGTAAGGTGAAATACATCTCCCACTCCCTTTCCTCCAGTCTTTCTCCTCACTGGTCTGTGATTCAACAAATGTCATGATTTCCCTCCTATCCCAGCAAACACTTGTAACCAGCCATTGTCATGGGGGTCACCCTCCCCATAATCTCCACACCAACCCACATTCTTCCCTAGTCATTTATTTTTCTTGGAGTTTATGTCCCCGGATTGAAAGGGCATCCACTTGCTGAAGACTTGATAATCTACTCCTTCAGTTGGATATCTCTGACCTCCCAACTTGCAAACCATCCAAATACGGGTTTGGTACCTCCATTGCTTCAGAAGCAATTCATACTTAACATTATCCTTGATATTATCCTTGATCTCCACCCCTCAACTCAGAAAAAACTCCCTCTTCAGGACGGTGCACCTGTCTCCATTTCAACATCTCTCAGGGCCACCATGTAACTTCATCCTATGGTATTGTTGCCGGAGATGAACTCCTCCTACAGAAAGTGCTGAGTCAGAAGTTTGTGCTGCTTCTAAGAGTGCTGGTGCCCTATGTGCATCTATGGATGCTGGGTTCCAGGAGCCACTCTGAGACCCAAACCTACAGGTGTTCAGTCCCATATGTAACAGTATGTATTTGCCTAAAACCTATGCAATTCCCTCATGTACTTTAATCACCTCTGAGTCACTTACAATTCTCAACATAATGATAAGCAAGTAGTGACTGTGCTGTGCTGCCTGGGGAGTGATGACAGGAAAAGCATGTGTACATGTTAGTACAGATGGGATTTTAGTTTTCAAATGCTTTTCACCCACATTTGGTGGCTCCTAGAGATGCTGATGTTGGAGCATGAAGAGCCAAAGTCTTATCAGTGTCTCTGCACCAATCCAAAGGAGTCTTTGAAGTTCCTGACTTTATCTGCCTCAAAGCTACAGCAGGTTGCTTCTAAGTACAAGCTTTCCCTCTGCAGCAGCGGGAGTCACCTGGAGTCCTCACACAAGTCGGCAGCATCTGGGTGATTCAGGCACGAACACTGAATGAAATAGATACCAGAGAGCTGGCAGACCTGGAAAGACAGAGAAACTGGAGCCAAAGGGCTCAGCCCAAGCCCTGCCCAGCACCCACCACTGAGGACCCCCACCCATGCCAATCTCTTAACAGGGCCACTGACTGCTCATCAGACTCCTTGTCCCTGGCTCTATGTCACTAAGTCAAGCTTAAACTATTAGTCAGCTTTCTGCTTCTGAGACAAAAGTATCTGAGATAGGCAACTGAAGAGGAAGAAAAATCATGTGCTTATTTTCAAATCAGAACAGTTTTTTGTTTTTTTTTTTTTAACAAAGTGATAGGCTCATTTAGGTATCCTCATACATACCTGTCACCATGCTTGTTCT